GGTTTATGCATACCATACCCTTCATAAATAACAAAGCAACTGAATGTGTTGTACTGCAAACCCCAGCAGCACCTCTGCCTCAGGACCCAGTCACCCACCTTTGTGTTCTGCTGCTGCAGCCCCCCATGTCTCCTGGTCAGTTTGATTTTTTACCCCACTGTTATCACTGGGACCCTTCCCAAAACCTGACTGCTCTAATTGTAATCTCCCAACCTTCATGCTTAATAAACTGCAGATCAGTTTGTAGACCCTTCCAAGGTAATGTTGGCCTCAATCAGCTAAAAGTTTTCTCCCCTCCCTTGTGTCTCGCTGCAGAAGGCAAAGTGGGGAAAAACAGGAGGAAGGAAGAGGAAAAGAAACTTCAGCATGCACACATACACACATACATGCATACACATGTACATAAATGTGTATTTATGTGTCTGTAGTATACCTAAAGTCTGATTTACAAATATGGGATGAATATCTAAATTAGGAATGAAAGGTGAATTCCTGAATCCACAGAAGCATTAGCTGCTTTGGCTAATGACTCCAAGTTTTGCTTCCGTTCACATGAGGCAGTTTTGGAGCAAAGCTCACTGGGAAACCAAATCCAACAGCTGTGGTTTGATTCAGTATGTTGGTCATATCCAGAAATCCCATGAAAATTCTCTCAACAAAACCCAATGCCCATGAGGGACATGAGAAAGGTGTGCTCACCACTGCAGGGTTTAGTGCTAAAGGGAGCAAACAAAATTGCTCATAAAAAAATCATATGCAGTAGTAATATCACACTTATAGTGCTTAAGGGATTTAAGAGAATCACAGAATCGTTAGGGATGGAAAGGACCTTAAGATCATCTAGTTCCAACCCCCTTGGCATGGGCAGGGACACCTCACACTAAACCATGTCACCCAAGGCTCTGTCCAACCTGGTTTAACACCGCCAGGGATATAAATCAATTTTAAAATAGCTTTTTTCAGGGATGGCAAGTAAATTAAGAGTGTTTCTTTCAAGTGCTACAGCTAAGGCCATACAACTCCATGTGTAGATATCCCTCAGAGTAAGAACATCCTTTCAAACTTAAAACCAAATCTACTGTGAACAGAGGTGAGATTAAACCAAAATAAGACATTCTCAATGTCAGCCTATTCCTTCATAATTCCAGAGGTGGTTTGGAATGTCAAAGACCAACCACAGATAAATAAAAAGAAAGAGCAATTCCCAACTATGTATTTTTATTTTCTCATTCCCTTCCATTAATATTCTCCCATAAATGCCATTGAATTAAAATATCTTAGACCTCATCTTAGCAATAATAGGGGCAATTCTGTGAAATAATATTAGTTGTGAAAACATTCACGGGTTATTGTTCTATTTATGTGTAACTTGAAAAGAAAGCATTTTTACAGTAGAAGCATAACCCCAAATAAAATGACTGACAAAGTCTTAAATTCCAAAAAGCAGCAAAAAACTCCTGAATCTAATTTTAAACAGTTTTTAAAAAAAGCAAGTTATGACGGGATTTCTTAACCCAAGTCATTAGTCATTAGCTGCGTTAACATTTGCAGCATATTATGGGCATTAATCAGAACACATTTTAACTTGAGTGCAAAAGTTTGGGACCTTCCTCATATGACCTTCCTGGCGTACTGCCAAGGCTCAGCTCTTGTTGACATTTAATCTGAACATAATCCCCAAAATCTCTGTGCCATTGCTGGGTTGCATGGGAATGATTCAACAACAATGCACATGGAATTGTGCTGCGCATTTTATTCTCATCTCATGGCTGCTCCCCTTCGTTTTCAGCTGCTGCAAATTATTTGTTTGAATGCAAGTAAATAATCTATACCCTTTATTTGTTATTGAACCATATAGTACCTAAAAAAGAAAGCAAGTTTGACACTTCTTCTTTCAGTTGTTTTTCTACTGATGGCTACCACATTTTTAAGGGTCCAAACTCCAGAAAATAAACAGAATTCAGCAGCTGATGAAAAGCCTGGGTTATGAGCTGTGGTGGCTCAAACCACCCACTGATTGAACAGGAGCAAGACCACACTGCAGCAGAGGAATGAGGGTTCTGGCTGCGGGCACTTGAACTGTAGTCTTCTGAATGAGCAACTGCCTTTACAAAAACATACACTTAAACAGGTTTTTCATATTCAAAGATGCCTCTGATCTCTGAAGCCAACTGCCTTTTTGTTATGAATGCTGTGAAAAATCAGAGTCCAAGATATCCACATTTGTGACTTTTGGCACTTGTGCAAGGGTAGGGGCTGATTAAATGATGTCTGAACAACACTAATTAAACTGAGGCAACACAGCAATTTGTCCTGCAGGAAAGCATGGAAAAGCCTAAAAATCACTGCAACAAGATAAATGTGGATCTCATTGTTCTCTGTGTGCTAAGAATTTCGCAAGTATTTTTTCCCTGCATTCAGAATTTCCCCCCCTACACTCAGAAAAGACCTAGGTAGGCAAAGCAGAGTGCTGACTTTAATCTTGCTAATGCAGGTCATAAAAGCACTAAATCATACAGGAGTATGAGCTCTGGTATGGGATGGACAGACCTACCCATTGACCTGCATATTTAGTTCAGCAACAATTTAAGTGTCATTATAGTTCAAGTGAGCTAGCTCTGGTCTACCTACATTTGCTGTGGTCCAATTTCTGCTTGAATCAGAGTTTGGCTCTTATTGAGACTTCTTATTTCCTGAGTGACACCAACATTTTCCCCTCCATAAGTAAAGGAAGTAAATAAAATGAACAAGAAAAATTATTCCCTGCAAAAGATTAACTCAGTTTAAGAAACTGTGAAAGGATGACAGATAAACTAACCTTAAATTTTATGAACTTTTAGTTTGCAGCAGGCTTGCTTTGTTCAGCATTCTCCCTGTGCAGTAACACCTTCCCACAAAGGCATTTCCTACACAGTGTGGACCAAGCTACAAAGGACCATAATTCCATGAGAAAAGTGTTCTGAAGCATTCATAAATATTATTACCTCTAAGTTACTTCTAATGCTAATTTGTTCATACATATAAACACGTATCCTATTTCAAATTTTGGGGTGGAGAGGACCTTTCAGTTCTTCTGCTCTTTATAAAAGCTGAACTTCCCAGGAAAAATAGGAGCTACTCCTTTGGTCCTCTGTTTCCTACAGCAGTGTGGCTTGATCCAACTAACAGCTACTTAAGTCAGTGTGGACCTGTTAAGTGTTTGGTTTAGGCCATGTAAGAGGGAGAAACTGAGAAACATGCTATTACCTGGCCTTCAGCCAGTTACAGTGCCACCACTAATGAGTGGCTGCTACAAGACCTTTTGAAACAGTCATGTGTGAGATACGAATCAATAAACACAATGCAAACCCCATCCCTATCTCACAGAGGGGAAAAACCATTGCAGCTTTATCATAAATATTTTTAGGTGTTTTGGTGCCAGCCTTCTGCCAGAGGAATTCAGTGATAGGGAAGGGCAAGGTCTGTTTGCAATGCAGCCCTCCCTAGGGAGGCGCATTTCACGGCTCCCAGCCAAAGCCTCCAAAACGCCTCCAGGGTAGCAGTTGGGCTGGAGCTGCCCCATCACGCCCTTCCACTGCAGCCGGATTTGCCTATTTCTGCATCTGGCACCACCAAAGGCTACAAAAACTTGCAGTCAGCACAATCCCTTCCAGATTGACTTTTGAGTCTCTTCAGCTAATAAATGCTGAGAGCAGTGCATAGGCTGGCAACAACTGTAAGCACAGTTTACACAGGAGGGTCTCCACCTCTCAGTCTTTTTCATGAGAATTTCTGCATGATTACCATCATGGCCCTCATCAGCCTCAAAAGCAAACTGGCCACCAAACCAATTTTTAAAAATGCCATTTCACCTAGCACTGACACAACAAAATCCTTTTTGCTCAGTGTTTCCAAACCCCACGGTAACAGTGCTATACTCAGAGCGTCATGATGGAGAGAAGCTATGCTGCTTAGTCCAATGACTCAACAGTGGTTTCTTCCTTTGCTGCTGCAGAGGCACCAAGAACGCCTCGAGAGCTTACATCGTGATGCTAAATACATGTTCACTATGCAGCTAATCCTATTGTTTTCAAGACAAAACAACAAGTCTGTGCAGCCTACAGCTACTAGTGATGTACATCCTACTTGTGCACCATGTACTACCTAAATGAAGAAGTACTTTCAGTAGTGAAATGCTTTTAATAACATCTCCCTTTGCAACCAAAAACTCAGACAACAGAAAAAAAAAATCAGAAAGAAAGCAACCAAGGATTATAAACAATATTACATATATAGGTGTATCTCACATGATTTATGGAACACAGGCGAAACATCAGCAGTGCTCAGGAATTCCATGATCCCTTCCAACAGAGAACTGCAAAGGGCTTTTACAAACTAGAGGTCCTAGAGACAATTAAGCACTACCTATTTTCATGTAAAGTGTTGCAAAGCCTGAAGAGTGAACTAGGGGTGTGAGGTCAAAAGAAACCCCAGACACACGTGCAAGCAAATCTGTATGTGCAATTACCACTGCCCTGTGCGGTAAGTAAAAATATACATAACAGAACAGTCATTATTTCTCTAACTTTCTGTTGTGGGCCTTCGACAACAGTGACTTTGTTATGAGCTTGCAAATTAGCTGCATGATGGAAGACCACTCAAGCTCATTCAAGTTCACAAGGTTGGGTTCTGTTGTGTTGCTAGCTTGATGTAAAACTTGGTTTGTGCCCCTAACCTGGCTCTTATCCAAAGAGAAAAGATCTCAGAGGTATGGAGTGGTGCTGTGAGCCTGAGCAGATGGCCCACAGGCAGTCAGAGGAGACAGCTCGATATCATTAGGGATAACAATGCTAGCAATGCACATAGGAAGCAAAAGCTTGTATTTCAGCATCCTCCTCAAATGCTAAGCCTGAGAGAGACTGTCTAGTGTCTAGCACCAGGATCCAGAGGCTCTGGGGGGAAAGGCACAGCCAGCTCATATCCACATCCCTACACTCTTTCCCCCTGCAAAATATGGTTACCTTTTCAATAATGCCTGCTGAGAACAGTCCCTCGCCATCCCGCCACAGGTGTCATCTGGGGGTGTGCTAGCTGGCACGGGCCAAAACCGTATCACGGAATGTGCTAGAAATGAAACAATATGGACAATCATAAGATACAAGTCCTGGCCCTGATTAACTTACCAGTGCAGAAAAAGCAGTGGTGAAGCAAAGTGGAAGTGTTGCTGCAGTTAAAATATAAACATCAGAAACAGGGCAGTACCGGCAGGACCAAAGACTAAAACTCCGAAGTTTAGACTCGTAGCCACAACACAATCATGTCAGCACCACAAGAAAGCAGGAAGCTTTCAAATAAATTCTAGACACTAAGTCAAATACTTCTCAGAAAATAAAAAGGCTGTGAGTGCCACAATACATATCAGGGTGCTGGCAAAGGCAAAGTGTGAAATGGGTGCTTTCCAGCATTCAGTTTAGGAAGACAAACATTGTTTCACAAATTCACTGTAGCCCTGCATATTTCCAAACTCCTTAACTCACGCCAAAGGGCTTGGACTTTCTGAACATCCTGTTCTGTTTCCGCCACCGCTAGTCTGAGTCCTCAGTGCTAAATGTCTTTATTTCAGAGCCACATTTTCTATCATTTTATTCCAAACTCCTCATTCTGTAGGCTTTGTATTTTACCTCTGGGTTAGAGTGAAGACAAGCAAATTAATGAGAAGTCTGAACAGCACATTTAGTTACACCTATATTAAGAGCTTTCCACAGTAAGCATCCCAGGGCACTGTATAAAAATAAAACTGCACAAATCACACTTGAAGCTAACAAAAAGCTTGTGGACTCTGGCATGCCTTGAAGCATAAAGATTGATGATTAAATGATTCCACAGTTCCCAAAGTCTCAGAGCCACATGAACACAGACCATTTTACCTGTCATTGCCTGGATGCATTACCAATCTGCCTGGATGTAAAGCTGAGACATCTCCATGACGGCCTACTGGCAGGAAAAATATTCCCCCCTGACAAGGGCAGGAAAACAACTTTAGCCTACAATCAGGAGCTGGCCATTACAGGGATTTCCTAACTAACTGATTGCAATGCCTCCCGCACCTCCTCCTTTCCCTCTTCACAGCTGCAAGAAGTTCAAGGTATAGTGGTTTCATGAGAGTGACTACAATAGCAAAGGCTTGGGCATAGATAGGAACATCCTCTCATCATCCTAATGACTTTCAGCTCCCAAATCCACTGCTCTTGAGACTCCACCAACTCCACAAAAAACAGAAGCAAAGACTTTGGCATGGCTGACATGCACACTAGGCCCAGCTCATCCACCTGTACAGACCTACTTCCTGGCTGCTGGGCTAAAGTGACACGGGAGAAGGCATTTCTCTTGGTATGAGAGGAACTGCTGGCACTGAAGTGCTGCTGATGGTGTGGAACACAAAACAGTCCACTTGCTTCCTACTTCTCTGATGTGAGACTTCCCATCTTGGTTCCTTCCTATTCTTTCCCATGGCAGCGTTTCAGGCTGAGTCGAAAACATGCAGTCAGAGATACAAAGAAACAACTGTGACCTTATTTGCCTTAAATAACTGCATTTCCACGCTGTCTGGTCAGGGTGCCCAAGCAGACACCGGGCACAGCAGATGCTCCCATGGGAATCTTAGACCCTGGTAATACCTCCAAAGTGCCCCAGTAAGCTATATGGGTGACCCTGCATTTGGTCTCACTCTCATCAGGAGCTGCTGCTGGTTGTCAGTACCTATGTCACCAGCACAGCTACAAGCGGCAGGCACAATCCTGCTGTGCTCCAAAACCCCATGCCCTTCATACAACCCTTTTCCAGGAATCCTCACTTCCAGCTACAGGGATGGCCACAATGCTGTCTGGTAAGCATCACTCCTGTGTGAAGCTCCCACTTAATTTCATCTTGCCCTGCAATTTGAGGCAGAAATGGTTAAAGCAGTGTACAGATAACAAGCTGGTCCTTGCTGAGATTTACTTCCCTCCTTGAGATAATTTAGGAGAAAAGAACCAAGTTAGGAGAAAAGAACCATTTGCAACCTCTCCAAGCAAGATCAACTTTGGCTTGCAAACCATATCAAAAAGCAGTTGTAGCTCATGCTAGACCAACCCTACTTTAAAACTATGAATTTATTAACACACGCTAAAGAGGGAAATGATATAAATGGCGCAAATGGTAAGTGGACAGTAGGCTGTGGCTGCAGCAGTGAAGTCAAGCTAAGGCCCCAGGGCCATAAAAACTTAAAGCTGTTCACATTGTTACTTTGTGAGCAGCTGAGGTGATCACCAACACATGCACATTCTAGAATTTACGGAATTAAAACAAAACTTGAAAAATGTTATGGCAGCCAACACAGTGACATTTGTGAAGAGTATTGACTTCAGAGAGTTAGCTAAAACCAGAGCTACAAACTAAGGAGGGGGACATGGAATAACATCAACGTAAGAAAAACCAGAGGTCCTGAACAGTGCTGGAATCCCATTCTGAAACTAGTTCAAGAATATGTATATAAAATCAACTGAACAGACAAAGCCAATGCTTCAATAAGGAAGGCCTGGAGGGATAAGACTTCAAGCGGACGCTGCTTGAGCAAGGAACACTTTCCTCACCATCTGGCTTAGAAAACATGGATTCCAGAGTGGCCTTCTAATTTCCAACAGGAAAACAGGGAAACTATTTTAAGCAAGCATCTGTAAAAATAAAATCGGAGACGCAGTGAAAGGAAAAAAGAAAGTGGTCAGTGATAGACACAGTATTACAGTATCTATCACAGTATGCTAGAGATTGGAAGGGAACTCGAAAGATCAAAGATTATTTTGCTATTTGTACTTTTAATGCTATTTATATTTGAAAGCTTTCCCTTTGAGACACTGACAGGTGGGCTTCCACATTTATCAGCCTGGGATTTGTCCAACTACCCAGTATTTATGGAAACATGCAAAGGCCAACAGAAATAAAAAATACATTCAAATTAATTTCTGTCACAATTAGGGATTATTACTATCAACTCCCATTCAAGTTCAGCCACATATGAACAAAACATTTCCCAGCATCACACTGATACACATTTCAAATGCTCTCCATGAAATCCTACTCCAGCAACATAGCATACCATGAAAAAAACTAATGCAAAAGTTTGACATGGTCTGACACAACTCAAGTTGTCTGGAGGTAAGCTCTTTCAGATGAACTTCTTGTGTGGGCTTAATTCCCCAAAGCCAAATCCTTAACGTCATTCAGGACACCAGCGCAGCACGTGTGATGGAAGGGACACGAGGAACCTGTACATCAAATCACGACACAGCAAATCTGGAGGAGAGCATCCGTGAGAGTGGGATGACTGCTGCGAGAATGATAGCATGCTGAAATACCCTGCACAGTCCTTTCCCAAAACATAGCATTTGGCTCCTCAGAAGCTAAGGCATTTGAAATCGGAAGTCCAGCTTCTCTTGCGCATCTCTGAAGTTCGTCAGAAAACACTGTGAGTGTGATTAAGAATCAATCGCATTCATGAACCCATTTAGAAAATGAGAGCTAAGACGCATGCTGCTTCTCTAGTAACCTGGATGATCTAACTTAGTTTCAGAATCAATTGGCTGCTTTCTGCTCAAATTGAAATCTGTAATTAGCGTTGTCCATGTGTCAACACTGTTTAGCTTAATTAGCTAAGCTTCTTCTCTAGCAGACCTTTCCCTGATCTATTTATTATGAACTATCTTATGCCTCAGGCTTTACTTTGCTAGCCTATTATGCTAACATACAGGCTCTCAGAAATACTTTTCTTTCTGTACCTGTCCTCGTTTGAATTGTTCTTGAATTCAAAACCCAGAATTACATACAACACAACACATGACATTTCATTTTGTACGCTTTTCTTCAATGACTGTAAAATTTCCATGCCTTCATCACTTTCACATTACCCCTATTCCACTCTAGATCCATACTGATCTTTCCAGGGGCAACATTACCGGAGATTTGCCTTGTTTTGATACAAGTTTCAAGTACTTTTAAAAATATTTTCTCTACTTTTAAATGTCTAGGCTTTTTAGTCCAGCCAATTTAACTACCTACCAACATTACTACCTTGTTTCCTTAATTTCAAAGCCTATTCTTTTGTTAGAAGGAGCATTATTTATGGACCTATGTTTGCTTGTGCTTGTATTAAATTTAAACAGAAATAATTACATGTATGTTTCATCCAAGATTATTTAGTATGATCAACTCTTCTATAGTATCTTCATGCTACATGAAAATGAAAACTGAGAGAGCACATCAACATCTCAGTTCAGAATCCCTTTTTAAGAAGTCACATTCATTGCCTGTCACAGCAGGCACCCAAGGCAGTCAGGGTCCTAAGCTTCCAAGGGATTGCATCTACTGAGCCATTTACAGCTGTATTTCTACAAGCAAAATAAACATGGCCAAGACTGCTGAGGCCAACTGGCATAGAAAGGTGCCATGCTATTAAATTCTCTCACCTTCCAAAACAGGGTGGCTATTTTCAAACTGCTTACTGGGAATAATCCCACGATAATTTTCAGACTTTACCTGGGAATATTTCAGGTGAGTTCTGATAAATATAAACCAAAAGTAGGCCAGTTAACAGTACAGACAACTGATATCCAGGGCCTGGAAATGCTTCCAAGCACCATTTAATTTACTAGTACATTTAATTTATATGCATGAAGACCTCTTAATGCCTGCGCCACCTTGAGTTTTTCATGACTCTTTCCAGATCTTCATTAGCTTGTCATTCTATCCCCTGTCTTCTCAGAGATCAAAATAATTCTACTGATATCAACCACATCAGCCACAGCTTTAAGGAGACGTTTCTCTGGCTTGACATATTAATCTCCATTTTGTTCCAACAGGGACACAGATCTTTGTCTCAAGTTTCTTCAGGACTGTTTTCAGCTTTAAGTCTGAATGGTATTTCTTTGCTCCTGGAAAACAAAACACTGCTCTTTCCCCTAGCTAAGCCCTGCTGGTGGACATGTCTTTCAACTTAAAGGAGTCTTCAGAAACACATATCTGCAACTTCCTCATATCATGATAAATGCCAGATCTCATGGGGCTTTTCCCCCCTTTTCCCCTTCTGCTGC